ATTTATGCCCGGGATTTCATTGTACAGTGCCATGTTAATGTTTTGCTCCACAGTCTCTGCAGTATTTAAGTAGAACATTTAGATTGGGTTTCGCTTTTTTTTATTTGCATGAAAGGCAATAAAATTAAATTGTATTGATTTTGCTGCCTTTGTACTACTGACAAAATTCTGTCACACCATATATTTCCTGGATAAAATACACCCTATATATAAAAACGGGAAACTAGCTTTGGCTTGCTCTTTAACGGTTCCCACCTCAATCATTATTACAATATAGTAGAGAAATATATTATACAGACTTTCAAAAACTATTGTATTTGTCAGCTGGATATATGCTTAAAGGACAAGTCCATCCAACAACGATATCACAAATTTGGATGGGCCCCGGTAGGATGAATCACCTATTTTCTTCTACATAGGGATGCCAGTGAGAATAATTTGCACCTGAGTTCCCATCTACACCACTCTGCCATGGCCAAAATAAATGGGTTTCACACTACCCACTAGACTTTCTCTTTTTTTAATTAATTAAGAATACATCATAGTAATGTAGTTCCCTAGAAGTACAGTGCAAATTATTTACTTGTGATTTATGCTTTTCAACACAGAGAAACCCTTGAAATAACTTTATGGTATCAGGGAACCCCTGTATTAATAACTATATCTACGACTCATGAAAACATTAGAGTGATGATCAGTGAGAAGAATGTACCTTACATTTGTGGTGATTGGGAAGAATTACTTCCTGACGGATAGCTAAAAAGATCAGTGGTGTCAGTGAAGGAAGCCTAGTGTTTCATGGAACCCTGGTTGAGAAACCCTGCTTTGGAGGTTAGTAGCTATAAGTTCCTGGTACCAAGATATCAGAGACTTAATGGGCTTCTTGGTGTGTAACATTACAGGATATCAAGTCAAGAAAGTCACAGACAAAATTCACATGCCATCCTCTGTGCTGGCCAATCAAGACAGTTAAAGACCAGCACCTGGAAAAGGGTGGGGGAAAAGATACTGGCACCGGCATGAGAGCTTGAGGGCATCAGACCATTGAAGCAGAGGTAAGTATTGCAGATTACCCAAGAAATATATATATTTTATATGAGTATTTACCACAATATTTGCTCATCTCTACTCCATTACTTGGGTAGTCAAAGGCTGTAAGGAGCAAGCCTGTGAACGGAGAGATGGAAATTTTACCATTGGAAACTGATTAAACCCACCATGAGCAAAATATATTTTGTGTTGGCCAACCCATTAATAAAACCGTAAATACTGGCCATTTATTGTAGATCTGAGGGTAAAAGTTTTTTTTTTTTCATTTTGGATAGAGTAAAGGAAGGTTTAACCCCTGTCAGCTTTTTTTTGTGTCCCATAGGGGAGATGATCTTTCACTTGTCCCACAGCCACAACAGAAAGTAAGAGAAAATTCCTCCAAGGTGAAGAAAATCGCTGGTAGTCAGAATTTGTGTCCCCATTTTAAGTTTTCTCCTCTATTCCTGTGTTGATGACCACCCAAAATTTGTGGTTTTCTTTCACTTTTGGTAATAATCATCACCAGGAAAAATAGAGAGGTTGAATTTCTCTAAAAGAAACACAAAACGTAACAGGTGTTCTAATCCTTCTCCACTCTATCCAAATTTAAGAAAAAAATAAATAAAAATACTTTAACCCCCCTGGCGGTATTCCCGAGTGTAGCTCGGGGTAAAGTTTCAGTACCAAAAGCGGTAACCCCGAGCTACACTTGGGCTTACCATGCGGCGCTGCTCCGGGATCCCTCGATCACTTACCTTGTCCTGTGCTCTCGCGATGTCCCTCCTGCAGTGTCCCCTGTAATGTACTCCGGTGGATGCCGGCATCTGTCATCTGGGTTCCGTCCCCTGCGACGTCGGGACATACGGGGAAGGGACTGGCGGGAAATTTGAAAATGACATATTCCATGGTTACAGGTTACAGGATTAGCTCCCATGACATTAATGCCTTTGCAGATATTTCATTGTTAATCTTATTGCTGGTGTAGGTGGTCTGTGCTAGGCTGGATTAAGTTATGGATGAGGTGGGGTGCCAAAGTCAAATAATGATCTTAAAAAAAAACATCTTAGGTGTGAGTGTTGTGTTTGCATATGGAATAAGGTATAGTTGTGGCACTACTCCAAAGTTTCTTACTTATGTCGAGTAATGAGTATTACTTTTTTGCTTTCATTTGTGCTTCTAAGCACAGAGAGTTTTGAGTAATGCCATAAATGTGTTAAGGCTGTGACAGTGGCCTCCTAATTTTGTATGTTGTACTGATCTCCGGTCATTTGGCCTACCATTTGTTTTCATGTAGTGCTAGATTCACTATGTATTAGTACTGAAGAAACATATGACTGCTACAGTACATTGTGAGTGATACTTTAAAGCTGCAGAAACACACTAGTGTTGTAGACATTGAGCTTTGAACCAAAGCACACAGTGGCATCCAACACACTCAGAAGTGTTGGATGCTGAAGATCCTAGTGGCAGCTGGAAATCTGTAGGTAAGTAAAGAGTGGCTGCTACAGAGGAGAAGTACTGGTAATATAACTGTACTTTACTATTGTGTGCTTTTTTTACTTTTTTTTTCAACAATGGTTGCTTTTAGATATATATGAACCCAATCACTAAAATCACATTATCTTTACCATGTAAATGTAATTGCAAAAGTCATCTCTAATCTTGTTAAATTGACAGATTTCATTAAAATATCTAATGCTTCTGTATAGAGCTGCTTCTTCAGGCACTTCCTGTTACAGAGTGACAGCACTGTCTCTGTCTCCTAATTGCTCTCCTGCATTGTCACCCTGGCACTCAGGCTTTCAATGGGAATTACAACACAGATTTTAGAGCATTGTCTAACTGTTGTCAACCATTAGTAAACACAACCTTGAGAAATGTCATGCAGCCATCACTGCAAAATAAAAAAAAGGTAAAAATAGTGATTTCTTATGGTAAACAAATGTCAATTGTTTAGGATACACAGCGACATACGAAATGTCACCCAGTTAGGGTTTAGATCTACTTTGATTTTTATTTTAGAGAAGAGCTGAATCTCCGAGCTTTCTGAGAGAGAATTGGACCCAGTAAAATAAAGAATAATGTAAAGAATGCAGTCCTGGGTAGCTCAATGCCCCTTCCAAAACCTGTGCAGGGAATCCCACCATATGTTGGAGTTGGGCTGCCAAACGTACAACCACAGGTTCGGAAAATCTATACCTTCTCTGTTTTGCACGCTGCAATTGTTGAACACGAGTCCTATGTCTACCAGTTTTCCATATCAAGCTTCAGAATATTGAGTTTACTATCCTAAGTACTTTAAGTGTTATAATCACTGGTGCATTATGTTAAAGGTACAAAAGTTGAGGCATCAATATCATCTTAACAAGGTTGACCCTACCTTATCCCTGAACCTTGAAAGCAGCAGCAACATATTTAAGCAACTATAGTCTGTCATAACAGGGGAGATCTCTGTCACCCAGTATTTAAAAGTATGCACAACCAGCACAGAGCAGAAAGATGCCAAATGTGGATTATCGATTAATCAAGCTACATCAGGGCAGATTTTGACCAGTCAAACGTTAGGCCAAAGAATGTACCAAATTCAGATTTTTATTTTACAAATTGTATAACACTAGTAGTAAATATATTTATTATTCACTGAATGCCTAATTGTGTGCAAGCACAATATATATATATATTTTATATATATATATATACTGCATATATATATGTGGACTAATCTACCTTTATCAGCTCACCTTAAAGTTAATTATGCAATTTAAATCAACAAAATACGAACCCCAAAAACCACTAGGGTTTAGTCCATTCTGTAGAAAACCACAAACTGCCATTTCTCTAGAACATTTGGCTCATTTACCAAACAGGGGAGAGGAGGCTGCTGCATATCTGTAAGAGCCAGCCCGTATAATACATGATAGTAATATTGAGGAAATGAGGGTCATGATACGGAAGCCGGGGATTAAGACAATAAGACCTGTCACCTGTTTTAATAAAGCCTAATGCAAAAAAATTGCTAGAACTTTAAGAATGCAGCTTAGGCGACTTTAAAGCTTAGAATTTTATTTTTCTGCTTTATGGCATGCTTCAAAACTACTTGGACAAATACAAAACAAGACTTACAGTGCACTATAAGTTATTTTAATATCCTGTAGTGGTGTATACTTCCAATGAATTCCCCAGGCTATTATTAAGGTTCTATGTTTGTGTGAAAATGTCAAGTTGTTTCGAGTGACTGCATACTCTAAATTATATATAACGGTTACTTTATAGCTAATAGGCACTAAAATTACTTTAAAACAGAAACATAGAAGTTGTATTTTCATCCCTTTTGACAGATAATAAAGATTATTTATGGGGCCATTTGTCATCCATTAGCAGACATGTAAAGGTATGATTAAATTAATCAGGGTGATATTTAGACAATGGAAAGATTGAAAACTTCTGCTGAATATTGGAAGAAGAACAGTGATGTGTACAGGAACGTCGTGGCAAATTATGCTTCCGTTGCTTCATCGGCAAATGTTATGAGTTGCTCAATGAAATGATATTTATACTTTAAAATGAGAATTTGATGGCTTAACAATTTTTCTGTCCAGCAATAACAATGTATGGATGGGGATTGTTTCTCTTAGGAGAAAACATAAGCAACTAGTTATATGTTATTGCCATACTTCATTATAAACAAACCAGCAAATAAATTGCTTGTTATTTTGGTGCCTCAAGTTTTCCAATAAAGAGAAGTTATACTCTAAATTGATGACTAACCTATTTTACCTTCTCTGTTGCTTTGCAGCTGGAAGGTAGCAGAATAAGCTTTGAAAAAATTTACATTTTCAGAGGAAACTCCTTTTCTTGGCTCCTCTGGTGCATGAGTATTTGACCATAGTATTTAAGCTATGGGGGTTTGGGCAAGTGATGCTCAACTGTCCAATCAGTGGCATGACCTAAAAGTACAATTACATTCCTAAAATTTCTTCAATTCCTACCATTTTGGCTGTGACAATCCAGTGCTCTGCCTGTCTGATGTGTTCCCGTTGCCCACTTTCAGCTGCACCATACACACAGGTGTATACTGTACTGTATGTACCTCTGTGATGACGTTGACTTCCCACATTGCCCTGTGCTTCCTGTGAATGCTGGAACATTGACGTCATCTTAGATTCCACAAGAAGTGCGCATCCTAGGGTGACAGCACTGCTTCCGCTTACAAAGCTGCTCAGGATTGGGACTAAAAGTCAGCAAATTTGCAATACAACCAGTAGGCAGGTGTAGGTTTTCCTCTGTGAAGCAGATGTTACTGTGCCACTATACAGATCAAGTGAAGCCTGTAGAACAGATTTGGGATGCCATCAGAGTCTCAGAGATATCAACTGTCTGACTGGATGCTGCAGCTTTTGGTGACCTTTGGCAGCCATCATGGTGCAGGACCTTAAAAATTACGGTACCCCCATCATACAGGTATGTCTGGAGTGATAGATTACCCACATGGAAGAAAAATATATTTGAAATATATTTTAAAAACATTCTTCCCAAATATATTGACATATATTTGAAATACAACAATTTTTGCCCTATTCAATATATTTCAAAATATATTTCAATAAACACATATATACTGTATGTTGAAATGAGTTTTTATTACAAAATATATGAACAAATATTTTTAAAAATACATTTTCAAATATACTGTATGTCTTTAAAAATACAAATCTACATTTTTGGAATGCATTTACAAATTTATGTAAAAATATATGTTAAAATTAGTTTTTATATGTAAAAAAAAAAATCTGAAGAATATATTTAAAAAAAAATATATATATATATATACACACATATATCAGACCACAGGACATGGTCCTTAGTCTCCTTGTCTTCACAAACTGTTTACAGGCTTTCTTGTGCATCATCTTTAGAAGAGGCGTCCTTCTGGGACAACAGCCATGCAGACCAATTTGATGCAGTGTGCGGCGTAAGGTCTGAGCACTTACAGGCTGACCCCCCCCCCCCCACCCCTTTAACCTCTGCAGCAATGCTGGCAGCATTCATAGGTCTATTTGCCAAAGACAACCTCTGGATATGATGCTGAGCACATGCACTTGACTTCTTTGGTCGACTATGGCGAGGCCTGTTCTGAGTGGAACCTGTCCTGTTAGACCGATGTATGGTCTTGGCCACAATGCTGCAGCTCAGTTTCAGGGTCTTGGCAATCTTCTTATAGCCTAGGTCATCTTTATGTAGAGAAACAATTATTTTTTTCAGATTCTCAGAGAGTTATTTGCCATGAGGTGCCATGTTGAACTTCCAGTGACCAGTATGAAAGAGTGAGAGTGATAAATTTAACACACCTGCTCCCAATTCACACCTGGGACCTTCTAACACTAATAAGTCACATGACACAGGGGAGGGAAAATGGCTAATTGGGCCCAGTTTGGACATTTTCACTTAGGGGTGTTCTCATTTTTGTTGCCAGCTGTTTAGACAATAATGCCTGTGTGTTGAGTTATTCTGAGGGAGCAGCAAATTTACACTGTTACACAAGCTCTACACTCACTACTTTACATTGTAGCAAAGTGTATTTCTTCAGTGTTGTCACATGAAAAGATAGAATAAAATATTTATAAAAATGCGAGGGGTGTACTCACTTCTGTGAGATACTGTGCATACTATATATATATATATATATATATATATATACTATATTGCCAAAAGTCTTGGATTCAGGTGCACAGGTGTATAAAATCAAGCATTAGGCATGCAGACTGCTTCTACAAACATCTGTGAAAGAATGGGTCGCTCTCAGGAGCTCAGTGAATTCAAGCGTGGTGCGGTGACAGGTTGCCACTTGTGCTATAAGTTCATCCGTGAAATTTCCTTGCTACTAAATATTCCACAGTCAACTGGTAATGGTATTATAACAAAGTGGAAGCAGCTGGAAACAACAGCAACTCAGCCACCAAGTGGTAGGCCACGTAAAATGACAGAGCGGGGTCAGCGCATGCTGAAGCACACAGTGTGCAGAAGTCGCCAACTGTCTGCAGAGTCAATAGCTAAAGACCTCCAAACTTCAAGTGGCCTTCAGATTAGCAGAACAACAGTGTGTAGAGAGATTCATGGAATGGGTTTCCATGGCCGAGCAGCTGCATCCAAACCTTACATCACCAAGTGTAATGCAAAGTGTCGGATGCAGTGGTGCAAAGTATGCTGCCACTGGACTCTAGAGCAGTTGAGACATGTTCTCTGCAGTGACGAATCACGCTTCTCTGTCTGGAAATCTGATGGACGTGTCTGGATTTGGCGGCTGCCAGGAGAATGGTACTTGCCTGACTGCCAAGTGTAAAGTTTGATGGAGGGGGGATTATGGTGTGGGGTTGTTTTTCAAGGGTTGGGCTTGGTTTCTTAGTTCCAGTGAAGGGAACTCTTAAGGCATCAGAATACCAAGACATTTTGGACAATTTCATGCTCCTGTGGGAACAGTTTGGGGATGGCCCTTTCCTCTTCCAACATGACTGCACACCAGTACACAATGCAAGGTCCAGAAAGACATGGATGAGCAATTTTGGGGTGGAGGAACTTGACTGGCATGCAATAGTGGCATCACCCCGATAAAACACCTTTCGAATGAATTGGAGTGGAGTCTGTGAGCCAGGCCTTCTCGTCCGACATCAGTGGCTGACCTCACAAATGCTCTTCTGGAATAATGGTCATGTACATGTAAAGGCAGGTGTCCCAATACTTTTGGCAATATAGTGTCTATATACACACACACACTACATATATATATATATATATATATATATATATATATATATATATATATGCTGTATATATAAAAAAATTTCTTTTTTTCCTCAGCTAAGTTTAGGCACGCCAAAGATGATGTGATTTTCTTTCCTGCAAACATCACTCGATTCCCCCATCAACACAGTCGGCGTTGATGTGGGAATCCCTCCCGTGGAACTGTTGTGTTCTGCTGCTGGCAGAACACAATGAATACTGTTCACAGCTATAACAGCTTGCAGTAATTGTATGTAAAATGGATTGACTTCAGTACAACCAGCCTACCCATAGATGGATCAAATCTCGGCCAGTCCCTGCTGAACTGGCCGAGATTCAATCCCTCTACGGCCGGATTTGTTTGAGTTTTAGTGGTGAGAGCAGTGATCTTTGATGGTTTGGCCATGAAATGTCTGATTTTAAGTAGAAATGTTTGTTTTGTGTAGTTTAGTTTAACTAGTTTTTTTTTTTTTTGTTTGTGTATTTTAATTTTATTTGTGTTAATTTTTTTTATTTTTATTTTCACAATCTTTTCTTTCTGTGAAAAAAAGCAAATATTTAGGCAAATGTGGGACTAGTATTTGGCACAAGAACAAGTCCAGGAGAGTTAAAATAAACTTTCTTAACCCTCAGGAGACATTTAAAGCCCACTGAACCTTTAGAAACATCCAGAAAAACTTAATTTCACCTTCCTCATCTCTTTGATGTATTTCACCAAAATGACAATTTAGAAAAAAAAAATCTCGGATATCACCATAATTTTGCTTATCCACTGTGAGCATTCACTTTGCACAGTGAATAGACTCTACTCCTAAATCCACACAATGTATCATTTTGGCAGCAAAGCTTACATAATGGTGTGGAGAGCAACAGAACCAATGTAAAGATGAGCACTACTCAGTAAAACATACTGTACATCTCTTGCCATATTAGTAACACACTGTTTTCAATTAACCTGCCCAACTTTCTTCATATCACTATCGTTTTTAAAATAAAGTGGAAGGTTTTCTAGATTTTTTTCATGTTCAGAAATACAAAAATAATTGAGCTCTTACCAATACATTTGTATGCAGCCCCTCAAAATGGATTCTAGTTTCTATTTTAACTGATTTACATTTTCCCTGTGAAGTCAACGGTAAATGCCTGCATTGGAAAGTTGGCTGTTTCTCACTGCTAGTGTTATATTTGACAACAACAAATGTTTAACTATTTACAAAACTGGATTCCATCGGGATGAAAGGCTTTAAATAATAGAGTTTCTTGGCTAATCAGAATGAGATGCTCCTACACTTGAAATGTACAATATTAGCACCTACATGAAGCACCCAGTCTGAAAATGCCTGAGGCACACAAGCCAATGAATTTTCTCTAAAGCTCCCCCTCTACATGACAGCTCAGTTTGTTACCAGTTTGTCACCAAATCACAGACACAATGTACAGCGCCGGCTATAAAAAGACTCATATCTGGTCATACAATATGTGCACCCATCCATAGACAACGCTATCATTAAATATTAAATCTGCTGCAAAGGAACGTAAAGTCATTTTTTGCTTCCACGTGATTTGAGCCCAACAAGAGGACACAGGTGTCTTGCTTATAAACAAATAACTATGAGAAAGAGAAAGAAAGAAAGAAAGAAAGAAAGAAAGAAAGAAAGAAAAAAGAAAGAAAGAAAGAGAGAAGAGAGAAAGAGAGAAAGAGAGAGAGAAAGAGAGAGAAGAAAGAGAGAAAGAAAGAAAGAAAGAAAGAAAGAAAGAAAGAAAGAAAGAAAGAAAGAAAGAAAGAAAGAAAGAAAGAAAGAAAGAAAGAAAGAAAGAAAGAAAGAAAGAAAGAAAGAAAGAAAGGAAAAAATATTGAATGTGAAAATAATTAAAACAAACTATTTTATTATTTTAATATGTACCTATAGCATACATATGGAATACAAGATTCTGGCCTATAACTTTCGTGTATCATAAAAAGTTTCAGAAATATAGAATGTAAAAAGTGATATGCTTATGAAGAAGAAAACCTTCTAATGAACTGAGCAATAAAACATGGAATTTTACATGTACCTTATGGAAAAACTTAAACTGGAACTAAACCCTCCTCTCCTTTTCAGCCAAGGAAGCTGCCATCTTAGCCTCTGTTTGATCTGTGGTAGCCATGGTGCTGCACATGTGATAAGTTATGACACCAGTCATTTGATGGCTTGACAGTTTGGTTGGTAGTGTAAATCAGCTATGACAGTTATTATCCATGGCATGCCTTGAATGTTACTGTTTTGGAAAACCATTAAATTGATGGGTTAAACTCTGCTTTAAGCCAGAACAAAACCCATTATTATTATTATTATTATTATATAGTATTTATATAGCGCCAAAGGGTTTGCTCAGTGCTGTACAATAGCAAGGGGGACAGAACATGAGACAAGACAGTAACAATACACTACACGAGGGGTTCAAGGGCCCTGCTCTTTCGAGCTTACAATCTAGGAGATTGATTTAGGGTCCCTTCACATGGGCGTTCTGTTTTTTTTTTATCACTTTATCACGTTTTTTTTTAAAGAAAAAACTGATCGGTTTTAATTCAGTTTACATCCGTTTTTACATCAGTTTTTGATCCGTTTTTACATCATTACCTACCTATGGAAAAATGGATGCAAATACAGACCATTTGTCCATTTACATCCGTTTTTCTTCTGTTCTATTTTTTTTAATGGAACAAAAATAGGGCTTTGATCCATTCCAAAAAACAGATGGTGAGGGATACAAATGTCGATGGATGTAAACGGATAATCATCTGTTTACATCCGTTTTTCCATAGAAATGCATTAATGTCTGTTTTTCATTCATCAACAGATGGATGAAAAATGGACAAACGAAACACCCATCTGAAAGAGGTCTTAACAATAGAACGATAAGGGCTTGTTCGCACTGTATGTGCATGAAAACTGATGAGAAAACCGCACAGATTTCACTTGCAGAGACATGCGTTTACAACAGTTTCATGTCAGTATTTATGCACCTTTCAGTGAGTTTTGTTTGCATGTTGACATCAGTTTTCATGCATGACAGTTTTGTGCCCTGTTCATGCTGCAGTGTTGATGCCATGTCAGTTTGTTCCGCACTGCATACACGTTGCAGATTTCTACGCAAAAAAAAATCTGCATGTGATACCAGTGTTGTGGTGTGAACAGGGCACATAGAGAACTATTTTTTTTGTGCCCTTGCAGAACACGTGCAGAAAAACCAACATCTCTGCACTATGGTGTAAATGAGGCCTTACTGTCACAGTTGTTTGTGTTCTCAATTGAACTCTCAAGCCTTCAAATGGCTGGTGTCATAACTGATCACATGACAATAACAACTGCAGATCAAACAGAGGCTAAGATGGCAGCTTCCTTGTCTGTAAAGGATAGGAGGGTTTTGTTTCACTTTAAAAGCAATGGTCAATCAATAAAAATACAATAATTGTTACTGACTCATATTAAAATCGCAATATAACAAGTACACATAAAAATGATCACCCAGGTTTACACCTTTTGCATCTTATGGAACCAACTTAGCACAAAAAGTCAATTAACCACTTGATCTCCGGAAGATTTACCCCCCTTCCTGACCAGGCCATTTTTTGTGATACGGCGCTGTTTTACCGTATTTTCCGGCATATAAGACGACTTTTTCCCCCTTGAAAATCTTCTCAAAAGTCGGGGGTCGTCTTATACACCGGTATACGGCATGCTGACACTTTTTAGGGGGGCGGCGCGGTGCCGCCCCCCCTTCCAACGGAAGGGACACTAAGTACAGGGGTGGGCAGGGGCTGCTGTTTCTTACCTGGCTCAGGTCCCACGACGATCCAGTCCTTCATTCATTTCGGCCACTGGATGTTCGCGCGGCTGCTCAGCTCCGCTTCCTCACCGGTGATTGGCCGACAGAACTGTAGCTCAGGAAAGGCACACAGGCGGCCAATCACTGGTGAGGAGGCGGAGCCGAGCGGCCCCGCGAAAATCGAGTGAAGGAGCGGCCGGTAAGTGTGCCGTGCAGAGGTGCTGCTGCAACCACATATGCTGGCTGCAGCAGCACCATACTGGAACAGGGGTCAGCAAGTGTCATTGGTGTCAGTGGGAGGAATAGTGCCCCATCATTGGCGTCACTGATACCAATGATGGGGCATTATTCCTCCCACTGACACCAACGATGGGGCACTTTTCCTCCCCCCCACTGACACCAACAATGGGGCACTATTCCCCCCCCCCCACTGACAACAACGATGGGGCACTATTCCACCCC